GGCCTGAGAGACATTTTTCTTTGAGAAACAGAAGTAAATCAAAAGCCTACCAAGGACATTACTTGAAGTTTCAATCTCAACCCCAGACTGGGTGGCTCTAGCCAAATTAATTCAAGATCAAGGTCATTCAAGAAAATTCAATGACAATTAACTCTATGTTGTTTACAAGTAGAGTCAAAGTCTTTTACTATCACTTTTCAACAAGAAACAAATACCCTAAGAGACTATTTTTCCTAACCAAAAGAAAAAAAAAGAAAAGAAATGAATTAACAAATTCATGTAGCATCACAAAATCTGTTTCTCTTTTGTGAGATTAATTTTAATTTGAAAAAGAAATCTTTAAAAAAATTTTAAATAATACAGCTTCAAGAAAGTTTCCTTCTGAACTCCTTCCTCACTTTACCAATTTATTTTCCTCACCGAATTAAACAGGCTCCTTTCATTTTAAACCTTAGGAAAGACCCTTAACATTTCAGTAAAACAGATGAACTAAAAATCCCATTCAAGTAGGCAGCTGCCTGTCATCATTTTGCCTTCAAATGGTACTATACCAAGGGACAGCAGATTTCTTAACCTACTCAACAGAAGTATCCCCACTAAACTCCTTCAACGTCCCATTCCAAGACAAGACACAGGCTTGCGCACATCTGCACACATACACACACACACAGGTTAGAAATGAGTAAGAAGAATTGAGTTTTAAGACTCTCTGGGTTAGAATTTCTCCTCTAACAAAAGCAGTCATTCTCTAAAAGAAGGTGTTCTTTCTTGAGTGCCTAGCATGTTTATCTAGGAACTGCCAACAGAACCATTTCATCCTAACGAAATGAGGAAATCTCTAGTATGTAAAACACCACTAGGAGGGGTACCTTATTTTTCAACGCTAAGAATTCATTTGTAAACTACTCTGAAAATGTAAAATAGTAATTTTCACACTAAAAGACAAGTCCACAGTTCAGTTCAGTCACTCAGTTGTGTCCAACTCTGCAATCCCATGGAGTGCAGCACGCCAGGCTTCTCTGTCCATCACCAACTCCCAGCGCTTACTCAAACTCCTGTCCATCAAGTCTGCAATGCCATCCACAGTATAATTTCAAATTCTTAGATAAAAGTTACTTTAAGTGATTTCCAATTGCAGGGCACATGTTCAAGATGTAGCAACAGAATAGCAATTCAGGAATCTAAACTTACCAAGATCAATTAACTTTAACACAAATGCATGTGCCTTGAAACTAAGATCTCTGTCCCAGGAAAAAGCAATAGAGGGGGATTGCACAAAAGAGACATTAGGTAAAAAGCAACATCTGAGTCAAGGCCAGGCTAACAGGCTGTAAGGCTGACTAAAGCTTGATACCTGAGAAGTCAGCTACCCCTACGCAGCTCCAAATCTGACAGACTGTGAATAACAAGTAAGGATGCTAAATGAAGAACAGAGGCTGGGAAATTCCTCTTTGTGTAAAAAACATGTATGGCCTTTTCTCAGAGTTGCCAGAAACCACAATGGTTACTCCATTATTTCTGAAAATCAACTCCCAATTGATAAAGTTTTCCCAACTCAAAATGGGATCAGCATTCATTACCTAAATATCACACAGGAGTGAGGAGGCGATTTGTTCACCCAACATTTTATGGAGAAGAAAATAAAGCCCCAAAGAGATTACAGAAGACTCAAAGAATCCCCAGCGTCACCTGAGGAAGGAGACCTAGAACCCAGACAGCCAACTCTCTTCTCCATTTCACTCCATACAGTGTTAAAATCATTTTCTAACTATAAAGTCCACTCATCATCAAGGGCTTCTATTTACCAATAGAACTTTCAGAAAACTATGAACAGAAACAAGCAGTTCATGTACACACATTTACCCTTAATAGTATTTTATATTATTAGTCATGGATGTTTCATGATGTGTTGCATTCTTTTTTAAAGAGGAAAAGCCACCTCAATCAAGTAATTATTGTCTTAATTTCCTAATTTTGTAGCTCTTTATATGCATAGAAAGAAAGAAAGTGAAGTCATTCAGTCGTGTCTGACTCTCTGTGACCGCGTGGACTGCAGCCCACCAGGCTCCTCCATCCATGAGATTTTCCAGGCAAGAGTACTGGAGTGGGCTGCCATTTCCTTCTCCAGGGGATCTTCCCAACCCAGGGATCAAACCCAGGTCTCCTGCATTGCAGACAGACGCTTTACCATCTGAGCCACCAGGGAAGACCTCTTTATATATAAAAGGCAACAATTTAAAGAAAGTTGGGATTTAAGTTCTCCACTCCCAAATTTTTTCATTATATTTTTTCTACTTAAGATTATATAATAGAAAAATACATACTGAACACTGTAAAAAACAGTGTTGTATCTCAGGAGTCTTATAAAATAAATAAAACTGATTCATCATCCTGATCACCTACAATGAGGACTGACTTCCGCCCGTTAAGATTATTATCTTTCTGCAGACTCCTCTCCTTCCATTACTACTGCAAGACCATCATAACAATGAATTTTAATTTCCCAGGAGCTGGACAATAAATAGCAGTTCTATTAAGTATAGATGATAGTCACCTTGGCTCCATAAGCTAAGATTAACATAGTAATAATGATAATGTTTGTAGCCTTACTACGCATCAGACATTGTTCCAGGCCCTGGACAGATGTTAATTTTCAGAACTGTTAAGTGTACTTTGTATTTCCCCAACTTACAGATGGAAAAAACTAAGGTAACCAGAGGTTAAGTAATTTGCCTAAGATTACACAGGCAGAAAGTGGTAGAGCTGAGACTCCACCCAGGTCTGGCTTCTCCGACCTCTCCAGAAAGCCTTCTCAAAGTCAGAGCCCATATTCCTCCCTTCCACTGGTCCCAAGTAACGGGCCAATCCCCCTCCCCTCCTTGCCTACCTCCTCTCTCCAAACTAGCCTATGATCGACCCCCTCATGCCTTCTCTTTCCACCATCACGCCTACACAGTCTTTTTATCAATCCTTCCCAATCTGACTTTTCCTCAATTCGGAACTCTTTTGGCATTTAAATGTGTTAACAGAAGTATACACATAAGCTTGTAAGAGCCATCATTAACAGAGCACATACTATACGCTAGATACAAAGCTAAGAATGTTCCCATAATTTAAAGGACTATGAAGAATGTGTGATTAGACCCGTTTTACTGAAAAGAAAGTTGAGGTTCAGAGAAGCTAAATAATACATTGGCAATGTTCTCCCAGTAAATAAACAACACAGCAAAATCTAGCACTCAACTCTGCATGACTCGAAGCTCACACCTGTTTTACTTCTGTTAAATCATCTAGAGTAACTAGGTACATCACTATTCATAAAGGAAGTGCTTCTTTAACAAATGAATTTAGAAAATCATTAAGCAAACAAATTACTGACATTTTAATAGTTTCTAATACTATTTCCAAAAACAAAAAGTTCCAATATCTTAATAATTAACATACAGATTCAAATAGAGAGGGATTACCACCCACCCCCATAAGTTAAAGACATATTGTGGTTTAAATCTTTTAGGTAATGCTATTTATTAATCTAGGAACCCAGGATTATTCTCTCTCCTAGCCAACCTCCCACCTCCCCCTAACTACAGCTCCCAAAAAAAGTTAACTATAAATTGTTTTGTTTTGCCAGTTACTTAAAGTCTCTCCCGACCCTAGGAGAAATAACATGCAGCATCTCTGATTATGCAGCTTCCTATACTAAAGCCAATCTCACCTCTTACTCAGTGTGAATTTTTTTAACCCACTAACAAGTATACTGTAAATGCTCATTACATAAACATCTCTTCCTGGATACAAAGGTTTCAGCAGCAGTTTTTAATACCTTGAAATGGTATAACAGCAATTATTGCTCATTTAGTCAACTGGACAGGTAACAATCACATTTATGTTACAGAACTCTGTATTTTAATGTCACTATATACATTAAGTGAGTCGAAATACGCTATTCAAGTATGCCAACTGAAAGCAAATGGGTCAAACAGGTATATTTCACCAAAGCATTTCACAACGCTCTTGATATGTATCTTTGTTACCTGTTACAACGCGGTACCTTCATTCTCTCCCACCATACGCCACACCTTTTAGGCTGACAATAGCAGAGAAATACCGGGGCTTCTCTCTTTAATAGTCCCAAAAAAGATCACTCAAACCTCCTACTACAAGCAAATCTTAAGAACCAAGAATTCGACCTCCCTTTCCTTTACAACCCGACTTTCCGTCTCCAGCTCCCACAGAGGACTGGGGGGGTGGGGGAGGCAGTGGCTGGGACTGACACAGAACGCACGACGCCTAGCCTGGTCATCTTCGAGCCTGGCCCACCCTAAACTTCACCTTGGCACGGGGAGAGGCAGGAAGGCACCAGGAATTCCTAGGAAATGGTCTCACCCCTATTGGAGAACATTCTTAACTTCCTCGAGGCCACCATTTCCCTGGAGTATTATCACACACTCCCACCCGGACATATAACCTAAGAGATTACTTAAAAGAAAAGCACACACCCACACAAAGAGAAACACACCGCTTGAAGCGGGCATCTCCGTCTCGGCGTGCGCGGAGAAGCTCGGAGACCACGCGGAGCCAAGTTGCCACCGCGATCTCACCCACGGTGCAGGAGGCGGCCCGGGCGGCTGGAAACCCAGCGCGCGGGGCTCCAGCCCCACGCCCTACGCCCCGCGCCCCGGTCTCACGGCAGGAAGCCCGGCGCGGCGGCGCTGCCTCTCCCTAAGAGCTCGGGCCGCGGCCGGAGCGATAAGGTGGATCTGCGCTTCCCACCCTGCCAGCTCCGCCCTCCGGGACACATTCCTGAGAAGCCCGACTCCCGGGACGCCGAGCTGGGCGCCCGGACCGCAGAACAGGAGGGCAGAGCCGCCCCGCGCCCCCCACCCCCGGCCTGCGCGGCGCCTCCGGGGCGGGGTCCCTGCTGCCGCCCCGCCACAGGTAGCGGGAGCCCCCGCCCGCCGCCGCCGCCCCGGCGCCCTGGGCAGGCCCGCTCCAGGTACCTGGATGAACTGGATGGTGAGCGCCGATTTGCCCACGCCGCCTCCGCCGACCACCACCAGCCGGTACTTCTCCTGGCCGGAGCCGTCCCGCCAGCCGGCCGCGGCCATGGGGACGCCGCCGAGCCCAGCCCGGCCACGCCGAGCCGCCGCCCGCCTTAGGCCCGGCTCCGGGGACGAGTGCGGCCGGCGGGCTGCGGGCGAGCGGCCGGGCGGGGGTCCCGGGCGCCGGGAGCTGCTGGAGGGCCCTTCAGGACGGCAGCGCGGCGCCTGGGCTGGCCGGGTCCCGCCCGAGGCGCGGAGAAGCGAGGGGACCGCAACGGCGAGGGGCTGCGGCGGCCTGGGGGCGCGCTCCTCCACACGACTTCTCAGCGCCTGCCGAACGCAGCCTCCAGCGCCGCTACAAATGGCCGTCTGGGGGCCGGGCCGCTGGGTCGAGATGCTGCATATGCATGAGGGGGTGGGGCGGGGCGGGGCCGCGCTGGCCCGGACTGAGATTCGGGAGGTGAGCTTGTAGGGTTCAGACCCCCTCGGGTGTGCCCCTCCAGTTCCTGGACTGAGCGGGGTGTGTGCGCGTGTGCCTGTGCGAGTGAGGAGTGTGTGTGTGTGTGTGTGTGAGAGTGTGGGAGCTGGAAGAAGACAGACAGTGTGTGAGCATAACTGTATGTCAGGAATTGTCAGGGATTGTGTGGATGAAAAATAAAGTATGCGAAGGCGTGTGTGAAAAATAGAGCCGTTGTCATCTTAACTCAGTTTGTAGGAGGGTAAATATCCTGTTTTAAGAGTACAGATGGTGACCATGACTGTATGGAAAACAGTACATGACAGTGATTGAAGATGAGAGCTGTCACAATAATTGTGTGTGTGTGATATGCTTACGGTGTGAGGAATGTCACAGAGACTGAATCACAATGATTGAGGGCGCATAGACAAGAGTAAATGTGGCACATGATATATCTGCCTTAGTGGCTGTGTTTATATGTGGAAAATGTGCCGTAATTGTATATGAGGGGTATGAGTGTGAGAGATTATACTTATTTACATACTACACACCAGGCACTGTGCTCAGTGCTACAAATCACTTTATGAATAAAATAATGTCCCTGCCCTCAGGGAACTAAGAATCCAATGAGGAAACAGCCAGGGCCACAGGCAAATTGTCAGGCCTCATAAGGATAGTGTGACCCTGGGAGGAGCACTCATTCCACAAGTGGGTGGTCAGGGAAGGCTTCCTAAAAGATCTGAAACATAAATAACGTAAGCAGAAGAAAAGTATTCCAGAGAAAGCAAGCCACATCTGAAAAAGTCCGAGCTGAGAAGGTAAAACGTGTCACATTTGATTTTGATTGTGTTGGGGGAGTATGCTTGTGAATGAAAAGTGCTTATCTATGTGTTGTTCAGCCGCTCAGTCATGTCCAACTCTTTCCAATCCCATGGACTGCAGTAAACCAGGCTTTCCTGTCCTTCACTATGTATCTATGTGTATAGCAGTTTAACCAAATGTAGTAGGGGTCACAGCTGTGTACCAACGCAGTGTAGGCTGGTAGATAAGACCATGGGCTCTAGGGCCAGACTGGATGCAAATCCTAGTCCTTTGACTAATGGTGTAATAATGGAGCTTACTGAACTTCTGTACCTCAGTTTTCTCTAAAATAAAGACAGTAGGATTACCTACCTTAAGGTGTTTTTTGACATGAATTGAGTCTCTTAGTCGTATCGACTCTTTACGACCCCATGAACTATACAGTCCATGGAATTTTCCAGGCCAGAATACTGGAGTGGGTAACCTTTCCCTTCTTCAGGGGATCTTCCCAACCCAGGGATCGAACCCAGGTCTCCCGCATTGCAGGCGGATTCTTTACCAATTGAGCCACAAGGGAAGCCCAAGGTGTTTTTTAGTAAGAGTCAAATGAGTTAATATATATAAAGCACATAAAACAGTGCCTGGCATGTAGTAAGCATTTATGGCAGTTTGGGAACATGACTTCAAGTTCTTGGAAACAATTCAGTGGCTCTCTTGGAACCAGTAGAATGCAGCAGAAACAATGCTGCATAACTTCCAAGTCTAGGTCAGAAGAGGCCATGCGGCTTCCACCTGTTCTCTTGGGATTCTCACTCTGGGAGAAGCAATGTGTGAAGTTTGGCTACCCTGACCCTGCCATGCTAGAGAGGCCACATGTAAACATGCCAGTCAAAGGTCCAACTGAATTCCTAGCTCAGTCAGTCCTAGGTCAATTTTCATTCCAATCCCAAAGAAGGACAATGCCAAAGAATGTTCAAACTACCACACAATTGCACTCATCTCACATGCTAGCAAAGAAATGCTCAAAATACTACAAGCCAGGCTTCAGCAATACGTGAACCGTGAACTTCCAGATGTTCAAGCTGGATTTAGAAAAAGCAGAGGAACCAGAGATTAAATTGCCAACATCAGTTGGATCATAGAAAAAGCAAGAGAATTCCAGCAAAAAATCTACTTCTGCCTTATTGATTATGCCAAAGCCTTTCACAGTGTAGATCACAACAAACTGTGGAAAATTCTTAAAGAAATGGGAATACCAGACAACTTTACCTGCCTCCTGAGAAATCTGTATGCAGGTCAAAAAGCAACAGTTAGAACCGGACATAGAACAACAGACTATACGTCAAGGCTGTATATTGTCACCCTGCTTATTGGACTTGTATGCAGAGTACATCGTGTGAAATGCCAGGCTGGATGAAGCACAAGCTGGAATCAAGATTGCCGGGAGAAATATCAATAACCTCAAATAAACAGATGACACCACCCTTATGGCAGAAAGTGAAGAGGAACTAAAGAGCCTCTTGATGAAAGTGAAAGAGGAAAGTGAAAATGCTGGCTTAAAACTCAACATTCAAAAAACTAAGATCATGGCATCTGGTCCCATCACTTCATGGCAAATAGATGGGGAAACAATGGAAACAGTGACAGACTTTATTTTCTTGGGCTCCAAAATTACTGCAGATGGTGACTGCATCCATGAAATTAAAAGATGCTTGCTCCTTGGAAGAAAAGTTATAACCAACCTAGACAGCATATTAAAAATTAGAGACATTACTTTGCTAACAAAGGTCCATCTAGTCAAAGCTATGGTTTTTCCAGTAGTCATGTATGGATGTGAGAGTTGGACCATAAAGAAGGCTGAGTGCCACAGAATTGATGCTTTTGAACTGTGGTGCTGGAGAAGACTCTTGAGAGTCCCTTGGACTGAAAGGAGATCAAACCAGTCAATCCTCAAGGAAATCAGTCCTGAATATTCATTGGAAGGACTGATGCTGAAGCTGAAGCTCCAACAGTTTGGCCACCTGATGCAAAGAACTGACTCATTGGAAAAGACCATGAGGCTGGGAAAGATTGAAGGCAGGAGAAGGGGGACGACAGAGGATGAGATGGTTGGATGGCATCAGTGACTCGATGGACATTGAGTTTGAACAAGCTCTGGGAGTTGGTGATGGACAGGGAGGCCTGGCATGCTGCAGTCCATGGAGTCGCAAAGAGTCAGACACAACTGAGTAACTGAACTGAACTGAGCTCCAAGCTGACCGCCAGCATCAACTGCCAGCCATGTGAGATACCTTAGACCCCAGCTCTTTCCAGCCTTCAGGTGACTGCTTCCCCTACTAATATCTGACTCCAAAGGCATGAAAGACCCCGAGCAAGAGCTACCCAGTGGCTTTCCTAGTGGCTCAATGGTAAAAGTATCCTCCTGCCAATGCAGGAGACATGGGTTCAATCCCTGATCCAGGAAGATTCCATATGCCATGGAGCTAGTAAGCCCATGCGCCACAGCTATTGAGCTGGTGCTCTAGAGCCCTGGAAGCTGCAACTACTGAAGCCTGTGCACCCTAGAACCAGTGCCCCACAACACGAGAAGCCTCAGCAATGAGAAACTTGCACATTGCAACTAGAGAGTAGCCCTGCCTGTTGCAACTAGAGAAAAGACTGAGCAGCAACTATGACCCTGCAGAGCCAATAATAAATACATTCTTTTAAAAAAAGAGCTACCCAGGTCAGCCCTTTCTGACCTACAAAAGTATGTGCAAAACAAATCAGTAAACTGTTTGTGGTTTTTAAACTTTTTATTTGGGAATAATTTGAGTCTATAAATACGAGCTTCCCTCGTGGCTCAGCTGGTAAAGAATGTGCCTGCAATGCAGGAAACCTGAGTTCGATCCCTGGGTTGGGAAGATCTCCTGGAGAACGGAAAGGTTACCCACTCCAGTATTCTGGCCTGGAAAATTCCATGGACTGTAGAGTCCATGGGGTAGAAAAATTCGGACACAACTGAGCGACTTTCACTTATTCAGTCTATAAAGTATAAAGAACACCCGTACGCCGTTACCCAGATTCAACTGTGAGCATTTTATCACACTTCATCATTCTCCCCTGTCTATCTCTGCTTTTCTCTTTCATATATATATATATATATATGATATAGTTATTTATATTAATTTATGACAGGACTTCCCTGGTAGTCCAGTGATTAAGAATCCGCTTGCCAGTGCGGGGGACATGGGTTTAATAGCTGGTCCGGGAGGATTCCACATGCCTCAGGGGAACCAAGCCCATGCACCACAACTATGAAGCCCATGCTCTGCAACAGGAGAAGTCATCTCAGTGAAAAGCCTGGGTACTGTAACTGGAGTTGCCCCCGCTCGCTGCAAACAAAGAAAGCCTGGATGTTGGAACAAAGACCCAGCACGGCAGAAAAGAAAATATTTTATGATAAATGTATGTGTGTGTGTATATAATTCTTACATTTCAATGAATTTTTGAACTCTTTGAGGATAGGTTACAGGCATTATGGCCCTTTACCCCTAAGTGCTTCAGTGTGTGCCTCCCAAGAACAAGGATATTCTCTCAGATAACCACAGTACATATCAACATTAGTAAATCTAGCATTGGTATGAATACTTTTGTCTACCATATATACTCCAGTTTTGTCAGTTAATTCAATAATGTGCTTTAGAGCAGTTTTTCCCTTCTAGTACAGAATCCAGTGTAGGATCAGGCATTGCATTTAGTTGTCAAATCTCTTTAACTTTGTTAGTGCAATACAATGGTTGTCTTAAAAGTGAAGTCGCTCAGTCAT